TTTCTTTCTTTCTTTCTTTCTTTCTTTCTTTCTTTCTTTCTTTCTTTTAAAGTTTTATCACAATTTTTTCTTCTTCTCATATGCAATTTAAGGTGGCAAACAAATCAATACTAATATTTTCCCCACAATAACCCTGTGACATGGGTTGGGCTGAGAAAATATCTGACCAAAGTCACCCAACCACATTGGACAGCGTAGCTGCTCTAGATTATCCCTTTCCAGTGTTGGAGGAGGGGAAGGAGCTCAGTTGTAAGATCGCTGAAGACTCGACAGAGGGGAAATAAATTGAAACATCTGCGCAGGTATAAGGTGTAACTATAAAGTCCTTCAATATTGTCCAAATCCACGTCCAATTATAAAGTCCAGGTCCTTCTATGGTGAAAGGCAAGGGGAAAGCATCAGTTGGGAAATTAGGGTGTGAGATGGCCTTTGCAAGAAAAGGGACATATTAGTCTAACCGAGGGAGTTTAGGAGCATCTTATCTGGGATCCTGAAGGAATGTAGCCTGCTAGAAATGAGAGATGCGGCAAAGAAGTAGAGTAAATTTTTACATAGCACCAAGACAGGGACACCCAGAGGACATTTGCAAGAAGAAAAGCTGTTGGTAGGATGCTAATCAATTTTTATACTCAAGATTGATGGAGGTGGATGGATATCCAACACTACTCAGAAAGACAAAGAATATTTCCCCAAAAAGGTAAAAAATAATGCTATACAGACAATAATATCTTTCCTAACAAGGGGAGAGGCTTAGGGACTTTTCTGAATGTTTAAGATAACAAGAAGCCAGAAAGATAATGGAAACAATTCCTTATGTATATAATTATTAATCATTTTGATTATAATAGTACATCTAATATAGACTAAACTCAGAAGAAGATAGAGAAGAGTGAAAAGTGTAATGAAAAAGAAAGAAAAAAAAGAATGTAATACAATTTTTACACATATTTCTTCAATAATATCTTTTGAACATAGTCTATTCATAGAAGCAGATATCATTACCGACATTGATATCATGGCTACTATTTTCTGATTTCATCCTTCAAAAGCCTATTTCAGTGTTATTATTGTGATGGCCATCTTGCAGGCCAGTGTATCTTTCTTCTACTGAAAATTTTTGGTCTCTCCTATTGTCCAATGTTTGAAATCATGAAATTATTAATCTGTGTTATATCTTGTAAAAAATAAAACAGATCTGTTACCCCTGAGAAACTATTTTTACTCAATCCCAAAAGTCGTACTGTAAAAGTTTGTTTAATAAACTCATTGATGTTTTCATAAACATAGTGAAAACTAATAGAAACTAAACTAGAAGAAAAAAATAAAAAATAAAAGTTGATGCAGAAAGAGAAAAAGAAAAAAAAAGACAACAAAGACAATAATAAAGAAATGGCTTCCAACCTTCAATCACAATGAGCATAAACTGAACAGCCATTCGTTTAGCCACCATTCAAAGTTACAACAGCACTAAAAAAAGTGACTTACAACCAATCCTCAGAGTTATAACCATCGCAGCATCTCCTCGGTCACATGATCAAACATTTGGGTGCTTGGCAACTAGCATGTACTTCTGATTATTGCAACATCCCAGGGTAATGTGATCACCATTTGCAACCTTTCCAGTTGGTTTCTGACAAGCAAAGTCAATGGGGGAAGCTAAATTCACTTAACTAGGTGATTCACTTAACAACTGCAGTGATTTGCTTAACAACCATGGCAGAAAAAGTTGTAAAATCGACCTCCTTGCCCAGAAATGGAACTTCTGATCCCAAATCTGGTTGTAAATCAAGGATTACGTATACTAAATGTTCACCTTCTTTTAAAGTTAAAAATAGAAAACACTCTTCTGCCCAGAGCCTAGCTTTGATCTAACTTTTATCTGTGCCAGGCTTTTATTGTTTGTGGTATTAATCAGTGGTGGGATTCAATTTTTTTTTTTTTACTACCGGTTCTCTGGGCGTGGCTTGGTGGGCGTGGCAGGGGAAGGATGCTATAAAACCTCCAGTCAGAGGTGGCATTTGCTGGTTCTCCGAACTACTCAAAATTTCTGCTACCGGTTCTCCAGAACTGGTCAGAACCTGCTGAATACCACCTCTGGAATTAATCTATTTATGTATTATGTTATTTTATTATTGATACTGCTTTAATGGCTTATTGGCAGCTGCCCACAGTTTAATATAAGATGTGCAGCTACATAAATATTTTAAACAGATAAAATAAATAACATCTATACTTCATCATCATCCTTTCCATCTTAGTTCATTAGGAATTACAGGAATATCAAACAAATTATTCATTGCTGGTCAAATAGTCCAACTTTATATTCATTCTTTTTGCTCTGACATTTAAATCTTTCTTGTGGCACTGCAGAATTTAATCTTTCGTGCTCTTTGGAATTTAAAAAGGAGTCTTCAAAGCTTTTACCAACCGACTTTTTAAATCTCGTAAAGAGGCACCATTCAGGATTTCTTGGCCAAGCTGTTTCATGTCCAAATCCTTTTTTTCATAAATAATAAGCATCCTCAGCTATAAGAAGACATAATGGTAATTGTGTAGCAGTTTTTGTTTTTCTGAATTCCATCTCTTGTTTCCCTGAGCCAGCCAATTTAAAACGTAAACTTGATACAGATTTTACCCTAAGGGTATTCAAAATGTCTTAGAAAATTTGTTCAGCTTAGCTCTTACATCATAGCTTATAATCACATAAATTGCTACATTCACCAACTTACTTGTACTTTACTATATTCTGTTAAACTTTATGCAGCATCTGTTCAGTACTCAAGGTCTCCTGGACAATAAACTTAACAGGTAAGCTTTAGACTTTTACAACTGAATTTCTTACAATGACAGAACTGATCAGTGATTCTATCTGGGGATTATGGAGTTTGAATCCTTTAAAGGGCCAGGTTTCAGAATGAAAATTATCCAATACTTAAAAAAAAAAAAAACAGGACAACCAAAATACCTATTTCTCTCTGTCTTTTTCCACAATATAAATGTTTGTGTGGATTGAAATATGTGATATGTTTTCCTCATTCTTGTGTACCTAATTTTCATTTTCAGTACATGAGAATGAGGAAAACATATCACATAATTCAATCCACACATACATTTATATTGTAGAAAAACAGATTTTGTAGTTATCAAAACCAATATCTTCTCTGTGCCTCTTAAAAAAGATTTATTTTAATATTTTCTTAAATAAACTTATATTTTTGAACTATATAAAGTTTTTTTTTATAAAGAACAGATGGTTTTTATTAGTATCATTATTTCTATGGTAGGAATGGTCGACCATCTGAAAAATATAAATCTAGGAAATGCCAACTAATAAATGTTACCAAATTGTTTTAGTTGTGAAGATAATACAGCCAGGCCTTTGGAAAATATATTCTAATACCTATCAAAAAAGATTCCTGAAGATTTTCAGACATTAAAATTATAACCTTAAAACATAATTATTTTACCCACAGGTGGGATGTGGGCGTTTCTGGTATTGGCATGCTTAATCCAGCAGACTACAAATTCAGAAGACTCTTTCAGTAGAAGACATTTGAATCCTGAAGGATTCATGACAATCGTAAGTTGTTTACATGAAGCAACTATATCTTTTTTTTTTAATGATTGTGTTCATTGCTTCTGTCCTTGGCATGCCAAGAGCATCTTAAGTATTTATGGAGACTCTGAATAATCCAGGTCATGGTTGTCCCAAAGGTGCTTTTTCCAAAAGACACTGGCTTGGCTTGGTTTTTGTTTTTTGTTTTTCTTATGAGAAATGAGAAATGAAATTTTTCAAAGAAAAAATTAAGAAAATCTCATTGCCTTTTGGAAAGAGCACCTTTGAGACAACCTCTGAAGTAGAAATCCATTTGTTCTGAAGCTGCACCATTTATGATGACATTAGTTTATTGTAATAAAACAGAACTGGAACATGTTCTGTTCTGCTGTCCAATAGGGATAACAGTACATAATTACAAGGGGCTGACCTATCTTAGGAGTAACTCATTGAGCAGAGCACTCATTCCACCCATTGTTCTAGGATGAATCATATCATACAAATTTTAGCAGCAAATCAAGCAAAAGATCTGCTACTACACCCACCAAATGTCAGCTAATTGTGCTATGTTCTAATCAGTCTGTTTGCGATCTAACATGCAGATCCGGTGTAGCTTTTAACTGCTCTGCATTTATAATTTCTGCATGTTCCATCTGGATTAATTTTCCCAGGACCACTAACTCACTAAAACCAAAGTTATATGGAACAGAAGTCATCTTCAACTTACTGAGAATAGCTGTGCACCTTATATATTGAGTAAGAATTTATTTCTTTTACAGCCTGAAATCACCCAATATTGGGGGTATCCCAGTGAAGAATATCAAGTTCTGACTGATGATGGCTATTATCTTCAGTTAATCAGAATTCCTTATGGAAAACACTGTCCCCAGCATAAAGGTAAGGCTATAATATAGCATTTCCACACTTGAATTACATATACAGTACATTCAAAGGATCAAGAAAAACTCACTCTGCCTTTTGGAATGAGTACAAAGCTACTTCGGTTTTCAACTTTGACTGGAAAAGAGTTCCTTTTTAAGCCCTAGATATTTGGCTTGGATATTATATTGCCATTCTACAATGTACAGGTGTTAGCAGTATATTATGATGAGTGGTTCATTCCAAGATTTCTTTGAACTGATAGGTTCAAAGAAATGATAGGTTGTTAAGTTCACCTGGAGGTTTTCTGTGTCATCAGGGTCACCTGAGGGGTGCAAAATGATGTGGAGCTGTTGGAACTGTTGAAAGGACTGTGTTGTAGATTGGAGATGGATGACATCATATCCCTTCCCCTCTGTTGATAGAGGGCTGTTCAAGTTTGACATAGATGGTCTCTTTAACCCCTCGTTCAAACCAGGGGTCCTCTCTGTCCAAAATATGGACAAAATAAGTCTTCAAAAGAGTGGCCTGTGTCTTTTAAACACATCGTCTTGGTGTGTTTGTTTTCCTACGTTGTGCCATGCATTTATGAAGTGGTTGTTTTCTTTCCCCAATGTACAGATCTGCACATGGTTCACTGCATTGTACTGCATATACCACGTTGCTCAGTTTATGTCTGGGTGTTTTATCCTTGGGGTGGACAAGCTTCTGCCTTAGTGTATTCTTGGATTTGAAGTGTGCACGTATGTTATGTTCAGTGAAGATCCTCCTGAGCTTTTCCAATATGCCTGCAATGTGCGGAATGACAACGTTTCTATTGGTAATCATGAAAGGAGAGCACTAAGGCCTTGATTGCCCCAGGAGGGAATATTGCAAGGCTTGACTTAGAGTTAGTGAAGTTTTGAATTGGTACCTGGCAGTTGCAGGGGTGTACATGGGGCAAACCAGGTCAGATGAAATCCTACTGATAATTCAAATTTCTACTTTATGGGAGTCAATTAACTTCGGTCCTGACACTTGCTCTTGATGGGATCAGGCTCAACCTGAAGAGCTGGTCTATGATCTGTATATCTTCCTAGATCTACATCACACTGATAAAAAGAAGAAAAAACAGGTGTGAGTCTTGGCCAAGAGTGCTCTTCCAGCAGAACCCACCAGAACAATTATAGCACTACATGGACCAGGAAACTTCTGTGATAGGAACCTTGTGCACCTGACAAACTCAATACTACATTGGATTGCCTCTAAGAACAGCTTGGAAGCTGCAGCTGGTGCACAATAGGAAAGCTAGACTGCTACTGTAAAGATGATACCGATGATAAAGTTATTGCACAGGTTACCAGAATGATTTTGGCTCCAGGAATGATTTCAGGGAATTACACAAATAATTTATAGCTCTGTCAATCCTTTTATGTTATACATTTAATGTGCTCAATTGTTATACAATTTTATTGCTGGTTTTTTGTCTGAGTTCTTTCAGTTGGGCAGTTTACAAATATTGTGAAAAAATATCAGTGGTGAATTAGTGTAGCACAATTAAGGTTTTGCAGATATCTGGATTTGAAGGACCAGCTGTAAACTGACAGCATGTGCATACCATGTAGTACCTATTCAGAATATATTACACCAGCTGCATCTTTTCTGAGGTTCTTGTGGCTGTCTTTGCAGATGGCCCATAATTCTGGAAACATAAGCATTTGGTTAAGGCCTAAAATGGGCCCTTTTCCAGTGTTCCAGAACTTCTGGACGGCCCATTTTTTGCCCTCCCTGAGCCTCCACATGGGCCTTGCACTTACCTGTGATCCAAAACAGACCGTGTGGGAGGGGCGGTGTGGCTGGGGTCAGTCAGGGGTGGGATTTTCTGGTTCGCCAAACTGGCCATAAAATTAACAACCAGTTTGCCCAAATCAATGCCAACCAGTAGCAGCCCTGCATATATCCAAGTTATATTTTGCCCTTTCAATCAAAATCCCCACACAACCGTAGTATAAGTGTAATGCTGTAAACAAGGCAGAATGTATTTCCTTTAATAATACACTATTTCTGGAGGAGCATTGTACGGTACTTATATATAAGATACAATAAATCATGGATTCTTACATTCTTTTACAGGGCCCAGACCAGCTGTTTTATTGGTACATGGTTTTCTGTTGGAAGGGAGATGTTGGATTGCAAATCTTCCTAGCAACAGCCTGGGATTTTTTCTAGCAGATGCTGGCTATGATGTCTGGATAATAAATCTCAGAGGGACCACATGGTCTAGGAGACACAAGGAATTTTCAATTTACCAGCAAAAGTTCTGGAATTTCAGGTAAATTTCAAGGAGAGTTGATAATGAAAATATTTGGTCAGGTCTACAAATTTATTGTTTTAGGGTGAATGTAAATTAAGAATAAGCATGTGCATATTATATTAGTCAAGTTTAAAATGGATACAATAAGCATTTATTCGAAAAGCAATGTCACAAAATAGAAACACATAAAAATAAAATTTATTTCATTTAACCACCATATATTTTCATTCTAATTTATTCATTAAACACATTTGATTGTCATGGCAAAAATATGAATTTTGAAGGCAGAAAGTAGGGAGGAAAAAGATATGTACATTTCAATCTGTTTATTTCTCATAGGCCACTGAAGCTCTTGCATATAAATTTAAGGATAGAGTAAGATTCTTTGATAATCAAGATATCTAGGATATGGAAAAATATTACATGTATTTCTTGTAGATGCCAATCTTATGATATTACTAAATAATGTCTTGGTATTCCTCCCAATGAGTTTTTTTACTACAAAAAGTAGGCTTAAAGTCAAAAAAAGCAACATGGAAAGGTGGACTTAGGAAACAGGAATGGGAAAACGGAATTCTTTTAAAAAAGCAGTCAAATAGGTCTGCTAGACCTCATGTTGTGAATCTTTGAACTCTAAGCAACAGGTTCCCATGAAAGAAACCTTAATAAAAGCTAACTATATTTTGGAGGCACTGGTTCCTGCAACCAGGACTGTGCCATCTTTGGTGCTGGATGGACCCAGAGGGCACTCTGGAGGGTCATCCTAGACTCACAACTCCTGTTTGAGGAGGAGGTGGCAGTCATGACTAGAAGGGTTTTTGTTCTTCTTTTGTGCCAGCTTACACTCATTTGTGCTCTAATCACATCCAGATCACTATTGCATTGCTCTGCACGGTGCTGTCTTTGAAGAATATCTGGAAACTTCATTGACACAGAATGTGGGTGCATGAGCCATTATGTGCACTCTTAGAAGAGAGCATGTTACACCTCTGCTCTGCAAGATGCCAGTTTGCTTCCAGGTCTAATTTAAATCCTAGTTTTCATCTTTAAAGTCTCTGATGGCAAGGGACTGTGTCTCTCCCTAATTATATTGACCTGCCCAGTTTGATCTGGCAAAGAAGATATGCTGTACCATCAACTAGGGACCAAGAGACTTGCTTTCCCTGCCATGGCAACCACCTTATGGAACATTCTTCCCCCTGCAATTAAATTGGCTCCACCCTTTTGACATTTCTTCGGTACCCAAGGTCTGGTTATGTTATCAGGCTTCAACTCCCAGCTGAAGAACCAGATGTCAGATATTCAGATGTCTCCATTGTTGAAGATGCCTGTTAAGTATGGAGAATAAGGGAGACCAGACATCTGACCAGTGACTTCAACTCTTTAATAAGTGATAGACATAACAGAGCAGTGCTATGGGAAGCAGTAACCCTTTTATAGGGTTAGCTGCTGCCTTATTAACCAATGAAAATGTGCAACAGGTTCAAACTACTGACCAATGAGGACAGTCCCAAAAGTGGCCAATCAGGGACTGGTTCTGGCCCAATCCCAAGTTGTTGTATAAGGACCAATCAAGTGTGCAGGTTTTCAACCCCTAATTTGCATTTAGGTTATTCACTTTTATTGATTCACAACAATGCCAATCTCATCCTCCTAACCTTAATCCTAACCCTATAGTGTTGATTTTTATAGTATTATATCTGTTGTTTACCTGATTGTTGTATGCCATCCAGTTACATGTGATGAGATGGGCAGCTTTACAAATTTGAATAATATAAGATAGTGTAGCACAGGGGTCAAACTCAAGGCCCGTGGACCAGATCTAGCCCACAGGGTGCTTAGATCTGGCCTGTGTGGCCACCCTGGAAACAAAGAAGGACTGGCCTTTGGTGCCTCTGTCAGAAAAAAATGGAGCTTGGGAGGGCTTGACAGTTTCTTGTAGCTCTCTGTCAGTGAACATGAAGCTCAGGGACCTCCATTTTCACTGGCAGAGGGCTGCAGGAGGCCATCATAGCCAAAAATGGAGCCTTGAGGAGTGACATCATGTCACACCCATCCAGGCCATGCCCACTCTGGCCATGCCCTGTGACCCCCTGAGTCAAACACAACCCTGATATGGCCCTCAATTAAATTGAGTTTGATACTCCTGGTGTAGTATAGCATAGTATAAGTACAGTATATTATACAATAAAGAATACAATACAATACTATACAGTACAATACTATAAATCCCTTAAGAGCCTTCAGTCAGTGCCCAACTAAATCACTATTACCAATACCAGATAGACATTGTTCTGGGCAAATCTACTTTGAATTAGTAATTTTTTTAATGGGGACAATTACAGCATGTGTATGGTTGAGGCCTTGATCAGGTACCTCAACATTAAGGTCCAAGAATAGTAAGAAACAAATAAAATTATAGTTGTGTATTTTTGTGTTACAGTTTTCATGAAATGGCAATTTATGATATACCAGCAACAATAAATTTCATCCTACATAAAACAAAACAAGACTCCTTATATTATGTTGGCCATTCCCAAGGAGCAACAATAGGTAAATTATATAACCTTGTTATCACTTTTTTCTGTTTTTCTATGTTTATAAAACAAGGATCTAGCACTGCCTTTTCAATTGGATTGATCAACTGCAAGAAAATATCTATGTAAATGTGTTTGTTTTTCAGCTTATCCCCAGCATTCTTTGCTATGAAGCCTTCAAAATCTATCCTGATTAAGGGCTATTGATAGATATCCTCCATGAGGATGCCTGTCAAAAATATATAAATGCCATTTCAGCCAGTACAGAGTAGCCCTTGGAAATGCACTAAAGCAGCGGTCACCAACCGGTGGGCCGCGAGAAAATGTTGGTGGGCGGCAGAGAAATCTCATCCCCAGAGCACCCCCCCCCAGAGGAATTAATCCAGGCTGCACAGAAACACAAGGCTACGCTGCCCACATGGCCTGCAGGAACCCTCCCCACCCACTCACTCCTTACCTGGCAAACTTGCCTGCTAAATTGCTATTTTTCTGACCATCAGCTGTTCTGCTGTGCCAGGAGATTTAGATTAGCTAGGAAGCAGGAAATGGTTGGATTTCTTGCTTTCTGGCTAGTCTTTAGATCTTTGACTCTTCTTTTAAGCATAGCCGAAACTCCGTTAGGACTGAAGGTTCTATTAGGCAAGCAAATTTTATGTGACAGACTGAGCTAGCTGATGGCAGATAGATAGATCTCTGAATGATCCTGTGAGCAACACAATCTGCCTGCCTGCTTTGCCTGATTTTGGGTAAAAGTTGCTCTTTTTTATAAAAAAAGTCAGTATTTATATAAATATTTATAATATTTACATACAAGCCATGCCCAGCCAATCACATGACCACCAAGCCACACCCACATAACCGGTTAGTGGCCCCTGGGATTTAAAATTATGAGTTTGGTGGTCCCTGAGGTCCAAAAGGTTGCACTAAAGCACCTTACCCTGCACCTTACCCTGCACTAAAGCACCTTACTGAGGTTGGGTCACTTTGCTTCTTCTGAGATCAATCAGCTTCAAATGTCCACTTTACTTTCTGAACATTTGCTGGGGCGAATTATGGCAAGTGTCACATAGCAACCACACATTTAGTTAGCTCCCATAAGATGCCTAAGTATCACTTTTGGGATTTTCAATCAACAGTATTGTAACTTGCTGGAAAGCCTTTCACCATCAGAGGGACTTTAAGAGGGCTCCTTTACAGAGCATTTATCTAATTTTATTTATTTGTCAAGCATACATTTGATAATCTATATACGTATAAACATGATTATTAATATATGAAATAGATACGAATAAAAGGGAACATTAAGACAGGGACAGTAGGCACGTTGGTGTACCTATGCACACCCCTTACAGACCTCTTAGGAATGGGGTGAGGTCACTGAGTAGACAATGTTTGGGGTTAGTGGAAGAAACCACAGAGTCAGGAAGAGTATTCCAGGCATTGACTACTCTGTTGTTGAAGTCATATTTCTTGCAATTAAGTTTTGTGCATTTTACCCTGAGTTTGTATCTATTGTGTGCTCATGTATTGTTGAGGTTGAAGGTGAAGTAGTCATTGACAGGTAGGACATTGTCATGGATAATTTTTTTGTACTACGCTTAGGTCAGGCCAAAGGCAGCATAGTTCTAAGTTATCTAAGCCTAAAATTTCAAGTCTGGAGGCATAGGGTATTGTAGAGGAGTGGAGGACTCTTCTCGTGAAATATTTCTGGACTCTCTTGATTGTATTAATGTCTGATATACAGTGCGGATTCTAGACAGATGAGCTGTATTCAAGAATTGGTCTAGCAAATGTTTTGTATGCTGTCTAGTTAGTAGTACAATATTACTGGAGAAAAAGCATCGCAGGATTAGGTTAACAACTCTTAATGCCTTTTTGGCAATGTTACTACAGTGGGCTCTAGTACTTTGATCATCAGAGATGAGTACTCCAAGGTCCTTGACAGAGTGAGAGTTGTCTACAAGGTCTTGTCCATGCAGCTTGTATTTTATTTTTTGATTTTTTTTCCTTGCCAATATTTGTTTGCTGAGATTTGAAGTTGCCACTTGTTTGACCATTCTGACATATTCAGTTCCATTGCCTCTTTTTCTCTTCATATCTCTTTTCATTCTGGAAACTTGTTATGACCTTGGCTTTTCTCACGTTCTCCTCTCTAGAACACTGCTATTTTTAATTCTTCTTCTGTGTGTCCCTACTTTTCAGACAGTGGTGGTTAAGTTGGAAAGCAGTTCCAAAATACTTTTCTGGTAACAAGTGGTACTCTTGTGAAAATAAATATGGATGTTCTCCCTTAGATTAAAAAGAAGGGAGTATCATAATATTTCTCCCCAAATTTATTTATATTTGGACTTCTTATTTGTGGGACCTTTGGTGGTTTGCTTGTAGACAATACCAAACTAGATAACGTCAGCACCACAATCTTCTATTGAGACTTCTTATTTAGAAGTTGAATATCCATTAGAATTTTTGCATCCTGTATAACCTACTTCTAAAAAAGCTTGCTGAGTTGTGAGCTGAGAGAAATATT